GAAATTTAAAATAATCTTCCTTTTTCCTATTTAACAAAATTATGGTAAGGTTAATAGGCAGATCCGTGATAATCGCAGAACATTTTAACATTTTCTCTGTGACTGGCTTCAGAACATTACAGAATTCATTGATGGTTGAGTTTGCACAGCTCACTAGAATGAGGAAACTTGGGAGCTGGGAAACGAGCAATGCTTGCAGTGGGAGAAAGTTGGAAGAGAAACTGCTTACAGAAATTATAGTAATGCTGTTAATAATAACTAACATTTTTGAATGCTTACTAACTGCCAGACACTACGTTTTTACATATATAGGCTGAATATTTGCACAGTCCTTTAAGAGATACATTTATAATCCCAACTAAGGCACACAGACAGATTAAGAACTGTCCAAGTAAGTGGTGGCCGAGATTGGAACAAGGCAGTCTGACTCTGGAGTGTTCTAACCACTCTGCTCTAGTGCTCTCAGGTGTACAGCTAGAAATCACCGGGGAAAAGCCTTGTAAAATTTTACTAAGCTTTGGTATATTGGAGCCCTGGTGGCGCAGTGGTTAAGAGCTCGGCTGCTCACGAAAAGGTCGGCAGTTTGAATCCACCAGCCACTCCTTGGAAACCCTGTGGGGCAGTTCTGCTCTGTCCTGTAGGGTTGCTATGAGTTGGAATCCACTCCACGGCAACGGGTTTGGTTGTTTTTTTGGTTTTGTAGTATATCAGAAATGCTTCCAAATAGCCACAGGCAGAATTGTGATTGAAACTAAAGGAAAAAGCTTTGAGTTACAGTAAAAGTTTAGGTGTGAAATGAGAGTTGAGTAAGATGGCCAGTGGGCCTCTATAGCTGCGTGCTTGAAGCGACGTCCCTTCTCCCGCTTCAGGCGTCTGAAACCTTAGTTTCCGTGACGTGAGGCATGGTGGCCACGCCTTCTAGCTTCGCCCCGTTTTACAAGCGTCCTACTTTCCTAGCAGTGTCCCTGGAATTTCAGACTGAAGAAGAAGACACTTATGATTTTCTATCTCGTTTAAGTTTTTAACTAAAAGGTAAACACCCCAGTCCCCAAATGGTTGCTTTTTGGCGTTGCCAGATTCACAGCCTCCTGAAGGTTCCACTGTAATGTCCCAGGGGCTAAGCCAGGGGTTTGAATAACTGCCCCTGTGCATATAGGAGCCCCTCCATGAAACCCCACCCATCACATACAATGATGGAAATGCTTGGTAAAGTAGAGGGTCAGCGAAAAAGAGGAAGACTCACAATGAGATGGATTTTGGGCAATAGTTTCTCTGTAGTGTTTTATACAAACTGTTTTTAAATGAAATGTTAGACCTAATGAATTAAAAACTTCATTGGTTTTTTTTTTAATTTCAGGTTACCTAGCCTGATTTTAAGGTGCCCCGGTGGCGCAGTGGTTAAGTGCTCAGCTACTAACTGAAAGGGCGGTGGTTCAAACCCACCAGCCACTCCATGGGAGGAAAAAGCTGGCAATCTCTTCCCATAAATATTACCCCGAAACCAAACCAAACCCATTGCCATTGAGTCGATTATAACTCATAGCGACCCTATAGGACAGAGTAGAACTGCCCCATAGAGTTTCCAAGGAGCAGCTGGTGGATTCAAACTGTTGAACTTTTGGTTAGCAGCCATAGCACTTAACCACTATGCTGCCTAGGAAACTATGGGGTAGTTCTACTCTATCTTACAGTGTCACTGTGAGTCGGAATTGACCTGACGGCATACTACAACAACAGCCTGGTTTTAAAATAATAAGTTCAGGCTCATTTTTTCTTGCTTAGGAAAACATGAGGTGGGTGGAGGACAGAGGTAGAAATCATTTCTGAGTCTTACAAGGCTGAAGTTTTTGTTTGGGTTGATAGTTAGGGGGTTAAGAGGAGGTATTGGGGCATTGCTTTTTGTTTTTTAGGTACCAGGAAGAGTATTTACACTTAAGACGGTCTTCATTCCTTCCTGAAAATCTTGAATTTTTTTCATCTAGTATCATTGACCTTTAGCCTGAAGAACTTCTTTTAGCCTTTCTTATAGTGCAGGTTTGCTAGCAGTGAACTCTCTTAGTTTTCCTTTATCTAAAAATATTCTTATTTCACCTTTATTCTTGAAGGATATTTTTGCTGGATATAGAATTCTGGGTTGATAATCTTTCCACCTTAAAAAATGTTATTCCACTGTCTTCTGCCATCCATAGTTTCTGATCAGAAGTCATCTGATTATCTCCCCACTTATGTAATGTCCTGTTTCTCTCTGACTGCTTTCAAGATTTTTTCTTTGTCTTTGTTTTTCAGCAGTTGGACCAAGATGGGCTTAAAAAAAAAAAAAAACCCATTGCCGTCGAGTCAATTCTGACTCATAGCGACCCCATAGGACAGGGTAGAACTGCCCCATAGAGGTTCCAAGGAGCGCCTGGTGGATTTGAACTGCCGATCTTTTGTTTAGCAGCCGTAGCTCTTAACCCTACACCACCAGGTTTTCCAAATTGGGCTTAGGAGTGACTTCCTTGTCTTTGTTCTGCTTGGGGATGTTGTCCTGGACCAACATCCAGTCATTTTGGTGTTGGTCTCTGTCAACTGCTTTTTCTGTCAAGAAGGGTCACATTCCTCTGGTTCTTTATTTGTGGAGTACTTTTGGATTGCATCCTGGATGTTGTGAATATTATGTTATGGAGACTCTGAATTCTGTTGTATTTCTATGGAGAGTGCTGATTTGTTTTTGTTTTGTTTTGTTTTAGCAGGCAATCACCTTGGTTGGAGAACCCTGCCTGCCCTGTATGGGGAGGAAGCTCAAATTTCAGCTTAGTCCAGCCCCAGCTGTACTGCTTTGAAGCTGCCCCATGCTTGTTTTGGTTCAGGGGTTGACATTTGGGCAGAGCTTACACACACAAGTTGAGGCTCCCTTCTATGGCTCAGTTCTTCCCAGCTCCTCTGCCCCACATATCCCAGTGGCTGTGATTGCTCTGAGCATGCCCTCTGGCCTTCAGGCCTGCAGTTCTGAAAGTTTTCCTGCCCTTGGGCTGTGAAGATGAGACTCAGCCCTTGCTCCTTCCCTTCTTCCAAGGGTGACTCCCTCCAGATTCCACCTGCTTGTGTTCACTCTCCAGTGCCTTCGGTCATTGGTTTTTTGTATTTTGTCCAGAGCTTAGTTGCTACTTGTGGGAGGGTCCAGTCTGGTAGGAGCTACTCAGCCATATGCAGAAGGCTCTTGGATTTGATTCTGTTTCCCGTGGCCCGTTCCTCTACCTTCAGGCAGAGCTGCCCCCAAACTTCGTCATCTACCCGTTTTTAAGGTCTTTAGGAAGAGACAGTTTTACTCTTCCTTAATAAGACTTGAGATATTTAGAAAACGTGGCTTTGAGTTTTGTATTCAGTATGTTTTCACTCACTCATGGATAATTTTTTAAATATTCCCTGTCCTCAGATGCGGAATCGGATACTTTTTGTCCAACACTAGATTACAAGTTCTGATTCTGTTTAAACATTTCAAGACAGTCTGCCTGTTTGTTGCCAACACTGGTGTTACCAGCACTCTCCCCTGGCCTCTGCACAGGGTCTTCCCCAAAGGTGCCCTGAAATGTGCTGTGACTTCTCAAGGTGCTCTCCTGAGCCCAAAATACAGGATGCTTCATATCCCGGGTCCAGGTGCATGGACGGTGAAGTGCTCTGCTCATGGGCAGAGCCATTCTTAAAATCACTGGGGCACTCCTGCACTCTGTTCATGGACTCCAGTAGGGACTGAAAACATACCTTGGCCCGTTGCCTTATTGGTCTGTATTTTCATGTTCTATAGAACAGCTCTAGGAGCCCTGGTGGTGCATAAGTGCTGTAAGTCAGAATCGACTCGACAGCAGTAGGCTTGGTTTTTTTTGTATAGAACAGCTAAGGAGCCCTGGTGGTACAATGGTTAAGCACTAGGCTCCTAACCAAAAGGTTGGCAGTTCAAACCTACCCAGTGATTCTGTGGGAGAAAGACCTAGCAATCTGCTTCTGTAAAGATTACAGCTGAATAAATCCTATAGGGCAGTTCTGCTCTGTCACATGGGGTCACTATGAGTCAAAACTGAACTCCATGGCACCAAACAACAATAGGACAGCTTGTAGAGCAAAGCACTGCCCTCCACCTGACCTGGCCCATTACCATCGAGTCGATTCTAACTCACAGTGACCCTATGGGCAGTGTCATTTCTTCTGCTCTACACGAAGATGTCAGTGTTGGCCAGCAGTGGTCTTTGTGCCCCACCAGACATATAATTATTCCTTCTGGTCACGTTGGCTCCAAATAGCACGGCCAACCATCTCTTCTTTCCACCAGTAGATCCTTCTAAGATGGCAGGACCAGAGGGTTCAGGTGCAGAAGGTCTAGCAACACATAGGGAGCTGCCACAGGGATTCAGCACTTGTACCAAGACATGGGACACTGATGTGAAGGTTTCAGTCTTATGCACAGAGAAACAAGGGTACTTCGAGGCTTTTCCAGTTTATCCTGAAAGTACAAGAGTTTAACCGTGCTTGTTTGCTTCTTTCTGCACATATGCCAACTTTTGAAGTTACATAGTACAAGCCAGATTTGTCCATTCAACAGTCAGTGTTAAATGATGATGGTTACCGCTAAAATTCATAAAATGGTAAAATTAAGAATGACTGCTATTAAGGTTATTGTAATAGTATTTGGGAATTCAGAGAATATCTAAAATGCTAAAGGTGGTTCGCTAATATTCTCGTTAGTGTCATTGCCAAAATCAGTACTTGAGTTTCTTAGCAATGAAATCCCTACCCAATGTCAGGCAATGACGATTATTATCTTCCTGATTTACATTGTTGGTTTTCCATGAATGTCTAATTGTCCCCATCTAAATTTAAAGTGGTTTGAGGATCGTGTTTTGCACACATTCCGAGTTCTCCATTGCACCAAGCTTGGTGATTTGGATGCAGTGGTGCTCATTAGCTGATTAACAGTTGACAGTGTCGCTGATCACAGATCCTCAGACTTATTCTTGTCCTTGCAGCCTTTTGTCATACACGATATGGAGACACTGTGCATGGCCGAGAAGACACTGGTGGCCAAGATGGTGGCCAATGGCATCCAGAACAAGGAGGCAGAGGTCCGCATCTTCCACTGCTGCCAGTGCACGTCAGTGGAGACCGTCACGGAGCTCACGGAGTTCGCCAAGTCCATCCCGGGCTTCGCCAACTTAGACTTGAATGACCAAGTGACTTTGCTAAAATACGGTGTCCACGAGGCCATTTTTGCAATGCTGTCTTCCGTGATGAACAAAGATGGGATGCTGGTTGCATATGGGAATGGTTTTATAACTCGGGAATTCCTAAAGGGCCTAAGAAAACCATTCTGTGACATCATGGAGCCCAAGTTTGATTTTGCAATGAAGTTCAACGCACTGGAGCTGGATGACAGCGATATTTCCCTCTTTGTGGCTGCTATCATTTGCTGTGGGGGTAAGTTACCTGCCCAATCTGCCCAGACCATATCACGTACAGGCTCCAGCCTTGAAGAACTGTATAGTCGTAACTGCAGTGTCGTGTCAGCTGGAGCTGGGGCCAGTGGTGTGAGCACTGCTAGGGTTATTGCATTGCCACCTCCTAGAATTCAGTGATGTCATGTATGTGACCGTATTTTGTAAGGCTCCAGCCGGGTGTTAGTCTAGTGACTGTCACTGTTGATATGTTTATGCTATTTCATTGTGAAAAATTTCATACTAACTGCCAGTGATTATCACGTTTGCTTTACCAGAGGAAACAAATCCCCACGAAGGAGAATCTGGGCCTCTCTGCAGGGAAGTTGGCACTACACCCCCAGATTTTTGGCTTGGTGACACATTCTTTTAAATAGCCCCAGCCCAGGTCTGGCAAGGTCATCCCTCTACCGTAAACTCAGCCGACCTTCTCCAGCCTTGGCAGGGACTGACAGGGTGGCCACCCACCATGCTGCCAGAAGCCACGCCAGTCTTTCATGACTGATGTGTGTCTAGATGGAGGCTGCCGGCAACCTCCTAGATGCCGGGAGGGGAGCTGGCAAGGACAGCCCGGCACTGCGAGGCATGTCCCTGCCGCTGTCCAGCTGGGCACTAGTCAGAAGGAGGAAGCACTTACGATACGGTGTAAAGTATAAAAGGGCAGAGCAGTGATACATGATTTATCCCTTCCCTTTCATACACCCCAGGATGAAGTGTTGTGAGTAAAAGCAGTTGCAGAACTATTTGTAATATGATCCCATTTTTGTAAAAGAAACTGTAATCATATATATAGAGAGAGAGTTGTTAGGTGCCGTCTAGTCTATTCCAACTTACAGCGACCCCATGTAACAGACTAGAACTGCCACACCAGGTTTCCTAGGTTGTAATCTTTATGGAAGCAGATTGCCAGGTCTTTCTCCCACAGAGCCACTGGGTGGGTTTGAACCGCCAACCTTTCGGTTAGCAGCCAAGTGCTTAACCGTTGTGCCACAAAGTCTCTGTATATTTACATATATGTGTGTGTATATATGGAGCCCTGGTGGCACAGTGGTTAAGCTTTCAGCTGCTAACCAAAAGGTGAGCTGTTCAAATCCACCAGCCACTCCTTAAAAACCCTTTGGGGCAGTTCCACTCTGTCTGACGGGGTCACTACGAGTCGGAATCAGCTCATCAGCAACGGGTTTGTGTGTGTGTGTGTGTGTGTGTGTGTGTGTGTGTGTGTGTGTGTGTGTGTGTGTGTATGTGTATGTAAGTAACTGTCTAGTGAGATAGGAAACCCTGGTGGCATAGAGGTTAAGAATTCGACTGCTAACCAAAAAAGTCAGCAGTTCGAATCCACCAGGTGCTCCTTGGAAACCCCGTGGGGCAGTTTTACTCTGTCCTATAGGGTCCCTATGAGTCAGAATCGGCTCGACGGCAACGGGTTTGGTTTTGGTTTTTTTGTCTAGTGAGATATACATTAAACCTGTGACAGGATTAAAATTATGAGGGGGGTTCACTTTTTTTTTTTAATTTCAGTTTAAAAACTTGTGAAGTATTTATTTTACAACTATGAAAAAATACAGACTAAGAATCCACATGATGAGCCAACGCTATTGAAAGTCAGAGTAATGAACGGGGCTTAAAGAGAGCGCATCTTGGACTTGGGTGGTAGTTCCTGCACCCAGAGGCAGGACGCCTGGCCTGCGGCTGCCCCAGGAAGTCCAGTGCTCCTTCCGCAGGGAGTTCACCTGGGGTGGATGTTGGCACTTCCTGCCTCAAGTCTCAGTCCTGCCCCACCCCCCGCCATATCATCTTCCCAATCATTGTTCATTTCTCTAAGTACTTCCTTCTCCGCTGAGTCATAGAAACCATAACAGGGCTTGATGCTGCAAAATAGAAATCAGACATCATTTAAAAAAAAAAAAACAACTCATTGCCGTCGAGTCGATTCTGACTCATAGTGACCCTATAGGACAGAGTAGAACTGCCCCGTAGAGTATCCAAGGAGCAGCTGGTGGATTCAAATCACTGACCTTTCGGTTAGCAGCCGAGCTCTCAACCGCTGCGCCATCAGGGCTCATCCAACATCATAGCTCCACTTAAATATTGAGGAAATACTGGGACCCAATATGCAGTTTTGATGCAGGAGGGAGAACTTATTTCCCATATTCTGCAAAATTGGTTGTTGTAATCATCATTAGGACATACAGTTACTTCTCATATGTTTGGAGGTTTTTCCTCCGGCGAGTGGTAACGGGAGATATACAAAATAATGGGTCAACACTGTAAGGTAGATAGTCTCGGGTGGTACTGTGGCATCGGTCCTGTCTGTCCTGTGAAGCTTAGCAACTTTGGAAAAGTCTATCTTCTAGTCAAACTGACAGTATCTAAAGGCAGCCAAAGGCCAAAGAAGAATCAGCCAGGATGCTCATTAGAAGTGAGGATGCAAGACTGTCACACATACTTTGGACATGCTATCAGGAGGGACCCGTCCCTGGAGGACATCATGCTTGATAAAGTAGAGGGTCGGCGAAAAAGCGGAAGACCGTCAGTGAGATGGCCTGACACAGTGGCTGCAGCAGTGGGCTCAAGCATAACAGTGATCGTAAGGATGGTGCAGGACCAGGCAGCGTTTCACTGTACTTAGGGTGGCTATGAGCAGGAACCGACTCAACGGCGCCTGACAACAACAACAGAGGCGGCCAGGCTTTTTGTAAGGAAAAAAAACACCAAACCCGTTGCTGTCAAGTTGATTCCAACACATGGCACCCCCATGTGTTACACAGTAGAACTGCTCCATAGGGTTTTTCATGGGTGGCACAAATGGTTAAGCACTCGACTACTAGCCAAAAGATTGGCGGTTCGAACCCACCCAGAGGTGCCTCAGAAGACAGGCCTGGAGATCTGCTTCCGAAAGGCCACAGCCTTGAAAACCCTATAGAGCAGTTCTGCTCTACACACGGGATTGTCGTGAGTCAGAATCAACTCAGTGGCAGCTAACAACAACAATCTTTATGGAAGCAGATCGTCAGGCCTTTCTTCCGCTGCACTGCTGGGTGGATTTGAACCACCAACCTTTAGGTTAGTAGCTGATTGCAAACTGTTGGTGCCACACAGTGACCTTTTTTAAGAAAGGTCATGTAAAATAGGAAGATTTGGTGGCTAAAACTGGTGTTTTGGTTATCTAGTGCTGCTGTAACAAATACCACAAGTGGGTGGCTTTAATAAACAAATTTATTTTTTCACAGTTGAGGAGGCTAGTAGTCTGAGTTCAGGGTGTGCCAGCTCTAGGGGAAGGCTTTCTCTCTCTCTCAGCTCCAGAGGAAGATCCTTGTCTCTTTGAGCTTCTGCTCCTGGGCTTGGTATCTCTTCCCGTACCTTGGCTTCTTAGCTTGCTTGTTTAATCTCTTTTATATCTCAAAAGAGGTTGACTCCAAACACACCCTCCACTAATCCTGTCTTATTAACATAACAGAGACAGGCCATTCACAGATGAGATTATAACCAAAGGCATAGATGTTAGGATTTACAACACATATTTTGGGGGGGGCACAATTCAATCCATGACATTCCACCCTTTGATCCCCAAGGCAGTTCGAACCCAGCAGCCGCTCTGTGGGAGAAGGATGTGGCAGTCGGCTTCTGTAAGGTTTGCAGCCTTGGAAACCCTGTGGGGCAGCTCTACTCTGTCCTGTAGGGTCGCTATGAGTCGGAATCCACTTGACAGCAGCAGGGTTTTGGTTCGATCCCCAAAAATTCATGTCCTTGCCACATGCAAAACACATTCACCCCATCACATCATCCCCAAAGTTTTAAATCAAGTCCAAAATCTCAGCTTCTGAATCATCTCAATCAAATATGGGTGAGACTTTAGGCACATTCCATCCTGCGGCAAAATTCCTCTCCATCTGTGAACCTGTGAAATCTAGAATACGGGCTATCTGTTTCCAAAGCACAACGGTGGCACGGGCACAGTAGCCATTTCCATTACAGATGGGAGAAATTGGAGGGACAGAACGGGTAACAGGCACCAAGCAGGTCCAAAAGCCAGCAGAACAATTTACATTAGCTCTCAAGGCTCAAAAATAATCCTCTGTTCTTTGGGACCATCTGGGCAATGGCCCCGTCCTCCAGACTCTGGGTGTTGGCCATGCTCTCTGGATTCTGGGTGGAGGCCCCTCGGTCCTGGGCTTTAGCTCTGCCTTCCAGGCCTACTGGGATGGCAACTCAGCTCCCTCGGCTTTGGGTAGCCCCATTCTCTTAGTCCATTTGAGTGGCAGCCTCATCCCCTTGGCCCCAGTAGGCCCCGTTTTTCTGCCCCTTCGGCGTGGCAGCCCTGCCCCCTCAGCTTTGGGCAGCATCCCCATCCTCCTGGCACTCATGAACGTCAGCCCCACACTCCTGAAACGAGTTGGTGAAGATCTGACTCTCTTAAACCTAGGAGGCCGTGCCTCCACCCTTTCCTCCACCCTTTGAAACGGATGCAGCCCTGCTTCCAACAGTTCTGCTGATCTTGAGCTGCTCCAGGGATGGTCCTTTCCTTTTCTTGGAGGACAACAGATGTAGCTCCTCTGGCCCGTTTCCTGCCTGTAGATTCCAAGAGGCAGACAGCGTTCTTTCCTTTCGCTCTTTCTCTGTCCCCTTCAGGCTAAGCTGGTGGGTCTTCTGCTGTGGTAGTTGGTTAGACCCATCAGTCATCGGCTTAGTCTCTTTAACAAGATTGTGTAGCCACATCCTTGGTGAAAATTCTAGGACACGTATCCTTAGTTTGTACAACAGAATTTTCCAAATATTTATGCTTTGCTTTCATTTTGCACAGTTCATATTTAAATCCATCTCTTTCCTCTTGCATTTCACTATTACTGGCCAGAAATCACATGGCCCTGGCCCCTTTAAGATCTTTTTGTTTTTCTATTTCTTTTTTTTTTTCTTTTTTCCCCATACAAAAATTTATACATACATTGTTATGTGACCCTAACTGCTCTCCCCACACTTTGACAGCGCACTCCTCCTTCCCACCTGATTCCCTGTGTCCATTCAACCAGCTCCTAACCCTCTCTGCCTTCCCATCTCACCTCCGGACAGAAGTTGCTCGTTTAGTCTCTTGTATCTACTTGAGCTAAGAGGCACACTCGTCACGAGTATCACTTTATGTCCCACATTCCAGTCCAATCCCTGTCTGAAGAGTTGGCCTTGGAAATTGTTTTAGTTTTGGGCTGATAGAGAATCCAGGGGCCATGCTTTCCAGGGTTCCTCCAGTGTCTGTCAGACCATTAAGTCTGGTCTTCT